CGCCTTAGCTGTGTCTCCATCACTCAGGAGTCTCTTTTGGAGTGGCTTTTTGTTCAGTAATGGAAGAGAACTGTTAGAGGTTGTCTCTTGTCTGCAAGAACTTCTGTTGCGTCAGGAAGTTAAGTCACCCTCGTGTGTCTCACTGTGAGCAGAAGGCAGAACGTAATTCATGGCGCACGGAATAGGGAGAAACAAAACGAGTCTGCTGACAGCTCACTGTGCGCAAGAGCTCTGCGTACTCTGTCCCGTTCGCCCCTGACGCCACCTGACCGGACCTCCTCCTCTAAGTGACGGTATTTCGAGTCTGAGCCGTCAAGGAACCCAGGTGTGGCTTGTCAGTGAAGCTGGGATTTGAAAATAGATCTGTGTGGACTCAGCGCTTACCTTTTTCCTACGGTGCTCTGCTTCTCCCAGCCAGAGAGCAGTATATGAGACGGCGGAGGAAAGGATGCAGGCCACGTGCCTTTGAGAGGGCCTCACGGGCAGAAGGCAGGCTGAGCTAATTCCTGAAAGGGGGGACGGATCAACCTTGGCAAAAAACAGCAGGGACACTCAAGTCTCTGGTCTCTGCTCAGACTAATTCTTCTGCCTGGAATGCGCTTCCTGCAGGGAGCTGCTTTCATAGCTCAACCCCTGGATCAGGCCTGCTCTGACCACCGCTTCCGTGTTGCTGTCTGAGGCTCCCCAACCTACACCACTCTGTGTCCCACTTTCAGGCACTTACCCCTGGGAACTTGCTGTACAGTCTAGTGTCCTAACATGTTTGTGGATTCCCTTCTGCCTTTAGGATAAAGCTTCATAAGGACAGAGATGATTGTCTTTTTCTTTTGTTCGAGATACATGGTAGGCACCCGGAAGAGTGCCGGGCACCAAGCAGCTGCTCCATAATTGTTGTTTGAAGATACAAAGATTTTGAGTTAAGGGTCAGCGAAACGTGTTTGAGGCTCTAGAAAGACCAGTCCTCCTGGAGTGGGGAGTCCCAGGTGTTGCATGTTCCAGTTGGGAAAAATAGGGCAGAACCAAACTGTGAGAACTTAAATCCTACACAAAGGAATTTGTTTATTTTTTTGGTAGGAAATAGAAGAGCTTTCTGGAGTTTTCATTTTAAGTAACAGTGTATTAATTTAGTGGCATAAAAGTAATATCCTAGTGACATCTTGTTACCTTTCCTCCATGCTTTTTTGAAGTGTTTTTAGTTTTACCTCGTAAAATTGGCTTTAATAAAGAGAGAAATTACCTTTCACATGCGTAGGGGCCCCTAGGTAAAGGAAACTTCAAGGTCAGCTGATCTCGGGTCGACTCCCCTCGTGATGGCACCCACTAGGGCCTGCCAGTCAGTATCTTGTGGTTCTCTTAAAGCCACGATAGAGAAGTCCTTCCCTTCAGTCTGATTGGGCCAACTGGGGCAATTATTCAGAATCTGGCACATATTACATATTTGTTAAATATTTGGGGATTGAGTCGTTAAGAGCACGCTGCTGTAAGAAGACGGCTGTCTGTAGACAAGCCCGCAGCTCCCGCAGAATGCAGGGTGGCTGACAGAGGTCTTGGAAGTAGAGTTGACCCTTGAACACTGCGGGGCTTAGGGGTGCTGACCTGTCCCCCACCAGCACCACCTGTTGAGGATCTGCATGTAACTTGACTCCCCAAACTTAGCTGCTAAGAGCCTGCTGTTGACCAGAAGAAAACTTACTAGTAACATAAACATAGATTAACACATTTTGTAGCCCCACAATAATCTAAACTAGGGATCGGAAAATATTAAGAAAAGCATAAGAAAAATACATTATAGCACTACAGTATATTTGTCCAAAAAATCCGTATGTAAGTGGACCGTTCAGGTCAAACCCATGTTGTTCAACAGTCAATTGTATATGTAAATTTTCACGGAAAATAAGTATTTTCCATGATGAGAAGACAGATATGCTCTACTTCGAAATACTAGAACACCTGCAAACCCCACAAGGTGACGTGAACGGGCAGTCTCTCAGGACAGAGGCACAGCGAAGTCCCTCCAGAGATCACCAGTGTCCGTCCCTTCTGATCACAGTGTCTTTCCTTTGGATGCACAGTATCCGTATCTTCAAGTTCAAAAATCTTAACTTCTCTTCCTATCCTACAGAATGAGCACCGAAAAGCTTGTCCATGGAAAGATGTAGTAAAAATGTATGTTAAACTTGAGGAAATGATTGATCAATTTAAAAAGTAGAAATTGTTCAAAACGCATTCTCGGAACATAGAGTAATAAAGCCAAAACTAAACACCAAGTAAAGAAGAACATGTAAGCAGCCACGGAACTTCAAATCAGTCATCAAAGTACAAGTTCCCTTGGTTTCTAATTATATTTGGAGTCATTCCTGAAATCCCATTTCATACTCAAAGTACTGTCAAAAGTGACCACAAAAATAAAAGTACAACTATATGCACAGTTTTAAAGATTTTTAAGGACTTATTTTTGACTTAAAGAATATCCTGACAATATAATTTGATTCTGAAAAAGTTTTTCCACAAAGACATTTTCAAAATAACAGAGCAGAAGCTTCATCCCATCCCCCTCATGCAGTTCATCATTCCTGGCAAATCGTCTGGCGATTCCAGAGTAAGAGCCCTGGGCTTGCACGTCTTCTACTAAGAACCCATGACGGGAAGGTCTCCGTACTTCCAACACACACTCAGGACTGAACTGTTGGAACTACATTTCACACAGCTCAGCAGTAAAGCTTCCTTTCAAATGAAAGGCGTTGGGGATCACGGCAAAGTAAGAAATTGCTATGGATGCAAGATTTTGCATAATTCTTGAGCATCAAATTAGTAACAAAAATGTTCACCACAGCAGACACTAATTTTTATGCAGCTTTAGGGGTTCATTAACATTTGTTTGTTCAACAAATACATATACTACGGGATCCTTCATATGCCGGGTGTGTCTCCTTGTTCTCAAGGAGCTAACATTCTAGTGGGATTAGTGGGATGATTAAATGAGAAAACTAATTGCAGAGAGAGAATGTCTATGACTGTTAAAGAGAAATGTAAAAGAAGAGAAGAAAAAGAAGAGAGCATCTTCAATCTCAACATCATTTTGATGATTTTTAAAAGCGTTGGGAAGAACAGCTAATCGGGGGGAAAATTCCTTTGGAGGATTATATAAGTACACCACGGGTATGCAGAAATACATACTGGGAGGGTATCTTACGGACACTCAAGTATGATTTGAGAAGCGTCAAGCAAAACTGAGGGAAAAGGCAAAGGGTACATGAATTTATCGATGCCTGGACGTTCAGATTCTTCCCTTAAGCCAGCATTCAGATCTCGAGGTGGCTCTGGACACTGGGAGGTTCCGAAATGCCACGGGCTCAAGCGCCAGTCAGTCCTGAGAGGAAACCTCGTACAACTGCTTTTCATTATGTGTTTCTTAATCCCCTGGGACATGTGACCTGCTCACTGCATTTCTTAGAAAACAGTTAAGAGCATGTACGTCTCCACAACTTTAGGATCTGCTCATACATTTGTTGTAATGACTAAATCGCATAGTCCCATCTCTGGGGGCAGTTGGGGAGAGGCTAGGGGTTGGGAATTGAGGAGTAGAGGAAACTCTGCTATGATGTGACTTCAGTATGGAAGGCAAAGTTAAGTGCTCTTCCTCAGGGACATTCCAGGGAATGGGATGCAGTACTCAAGTCACTTGGGAACAATACAATGATGCCCCCAGACAGGGACTATTTATTGAACGTCTCTCCTCCAATAGTCCCAAGCTTGGTAATTTCTAAAACGCTCCGGGTAAAGTCACTTATTTTAGCTAGCATGGAAATCTAGTTTCCTTTAGGTTCTGGAGCATTGGAGGGATGGGGTAGACGTGTGTGTGTGTGTGTGTACGTGTGTACACACGCGTGTGTGGCGTGCTTGCTGGGGCAGATACCAGATTCAGCGACAGTTTGGAGGCTGCTGGTCGATTTGGCGCTAGATGTGGTGTTATCTATCGAAATGGTGGGAAGCAACAAATTGGAGAAAGATTAGCAAAGAGAAAACAACAGGCCTAAGCAGGTTAGTTAACAAGGATATTGAAAGAGGAAGGAGCATCCCAGCCCTGTTTGAATGTGTGGGACAGACATGTTTTTGTCAGTGTCGAGATAAATTAGACCGTGCTTTGGCGGAACACAGAATCCACGAGGTTTGGGGCATGTTAAGTGTACACTAATGGTGGTAGTCAGACAGGATTTGATTGATCAGGAAGACACAGAATAGTGGTAGGATTAATTAAAGGCTGCTTCCCAGCGAGGGCTCTGGAGAGGCCCAGCCAGCCGCTGTCCGAAAGGGCCGCATAAATATACTTTGGGTCCGAACCAGTGACCGAGAATGGAGTCCTGGCCAGTTTGTTTCTTGTACCCTGTTGGTCATGTGGGCATGCTGTTGTCATGTGGCCAACCGCAGGGGAGAGCCTCTCAGAGGGCCGCACCTAGGCATGCCGTCCATCCATCCATCCATCCATCCATTGGTCTTGCTTTATGGGAAACACTGCTGACAGTCTAGTACAGGAGAGCCCCCGATGCCCAGGACCCGTGGGACAAAGCTGCCTTGTGGTGTCCTTTGTGCGTCGGCCCGGGTGCTGTGCACAGTCGTGTCTTACTCCAGCAGGTGAGAAATGCAACAGTTAACCCCAGCAGCACAGGTGTTCTCGGGCACTGCGAGAGCCGTGGGGTTGGGTCATGTACAATATCACTTGCAGGTGCTACCGTTTCAGAACGTCTCACAAGGAGAAACGTCTCACAACGTCTCACAGAACGTCTCACAAGGATCTTGGAAGTGGCCTGTGGTATTTCGTGCATCTAACTCTTATGTTTAACCTTTCGTTGATAGATGTGTAAAGCCAAATTCTTTGATTTTGTAAGAGAAAACGTAGCAAAGCAGCCTTCTAGTTTACTGAGAGTGAATGACATATTCTGTATTTCAGAACCTACTCAAAGTTTCTAATTGTGTTTTTCCCTTCCTTTTCCTTCCACCAGATGAGTCGGCTCCTAAGGAAGTCAGCAGGGTAAGTAATGAGAATGTAATTTCTGTCACCACAGTGTAGGAAATAAATAACGTTCCTGTGTTTTCTCACTGCTCTCACATGTTAAAGTATTGGAAAAATAATGGCAAAGCCTGAGTGTCTGCCCCAGCGCATCACTCGTTAATAGGGAGGAAAGTCGGTAGGGAGAGCCGTTGCAGACTGGGGGCCCCCAAAGTGAGTACAGCTCGCAGCTGCTCTTTGTCTGCACTGCACGTGCTTATGGGGTTTTCTGAACGAGCTGCCAACGTTGGAAATTGAGAGCCTGCGTGTAAAGACTGGGTTTCTAGCTTCTCTTACACCGACACAAGCCTTCCCTGTGTGGCGGCAGGCAGCGGAAGCCTCTGCCTCTCGCTCCCCCAGCAAGCGGCTTTACCCTGCCTTTGAGTTCATGCACCTTGTTTGTGGGCGAACGAAAGGTGACTGCTTATGTATTCGAGACAGGGCATTCCTCGGTACTTTTAGACATACTAAACGCACTGTTTTCCTGTCCAAGAGAAATTACGTAGGGTTAACTTTAAGAGACTTACCAAACTTAAAAACTTATGGGTTGTGAGTACTGAAAGCATTTAGCAAACTATGCATAGTAATGCAAAGTTATAATTAATTACATATGATAAATCTTCTAATTATATATTTCATATACAATAAAGATCTTAAATGTGGAATATTGAAAATAATCAGTTTGCAGGCAGAGTCCCGAGACCTGGGGGTGTTGAGATCAGCAGTCTGCCGTCTCAGAGCTCTGCAGTAGCACTGTGCACTTTATATATCAAGGTGGTGGGCAGAAATCTACAGTTTCCTCACCAACAGCCCCTGTTGTTTTGTAACCCAAACTACAAGAGATACCTAACCTCAATTTAACATTGACAGTCCCGAAGAAACTTTAGATTTTGTTGTTGTTTTCGAAGGAGATGGGGAAAGAAATGCCCCAAAGAGGTAGTTTTAAGCAATCTGTGTTTTCCTGACATTCTGTCCTATTGACGACGAAGAGTGGAACTGTACTTCTGAGGCCGGCCTTCTGTCGGTACATTGATTCTGTTCACCTGCCGGCCAGAACCCACTTTCTTCGCCTCTGGAGTCTCCACATACAAAGATTTTGTGCCAGTGTTATAACTGATTTTGCGACTGCATCGCACTCCTTTAATTATAAACTAGGTTGTATTTGGGTAGAACAGTTGTATAGACGAGGAGTGGACTTTTTTATTTTACTGAACGCATTTCTGTATATTTTAGTTATACAAAATATCGCTGCAAGACAGTCGGATTCGGAGGACATTGTCATGTCGTTCTTAGTACGCCACCGCCTTCTTTCTGGCTGAAGAGAGGGGAGATGTGTGCTCAGGCAGCACCACGGACTATTTTTAAGGCCGTTAGAAATGATGACAAAAGTATACAGAGATCATTCTTTGCTGTTATTTTATAAGGGTCTCTTATTTTGTGCCTCATGTTGAGAAAGTCTATCTCCAGTTGAGAATTTCTAATTTATGAGCTGAGAGTAGAATAGAATAGACACTTAATAGATAATACTAGAATAGATACTAGGGTAGTATCCGTTGCCAAGATCTTTAACATGGTTTATTCTCAATATAACCCATATATCAGGGTTCATGACGGATATTCAGAATTTGCTTTCTGTAACAGCACACTGTTGTTTTCAATTAAAATTAAGGTTTAGAAATGAGGGTGCCTGGGGGGCTCAGTGGGTTAAGCCTCTGCCTTTGGCTCAGGTCATGATCTCAGGGTCCTGGGATCGAGCCCTGCATTGGGTTCCCTGCTCAGCGGGAAGCCTGCTTCCTCCTCTCTCTCTCTTTGCCTGCCGCTCCCCTTGCTCATGATCTCTCTCTCTCTCTCAAATAAATAAATAAAATCTTTATATATATTTAAAAAAGAAAAGGTTTAGAAATGCATAGTGCAGCCTTTTGGAGGGAGGGCTTGTTTGGGAACATCCGTTGTCAAAAGTCGTGCTCCTTATGAGCGCGGCTGTCGCACCCACAGAGCGTTCTGAGTTTTGTGAGACACTTTCCCATTTAGAGCCAAACCACCTCTCCTTAACTGTCATCTGTTAAATATGGGTTTTTCCTTTTTTTTTTTTTAATTAATACTTTCCTTGATTTTTGTAGCAACTCAAAAACAAACAAACAAAACAAGAACATAACTATCCCCCATACTCCACATGAGAGCTCTCTGAATAGAGGGGTTACGTTCTCTCTTCCCAGTGAAGCGCACCTACTTTTAAAACATTTTCCCCAAAATGCCTCCCTCGCATCTACTTAGACATTCTCTGGACCAAGTGTCTATATCAGCACATTTTTAGCAGGTAGCTGCTGTGACATGACATCGCAGACCCATGGTGGCCTGACCCTGACAGCATGGGGGAGGACGGGTAACTGCTTGGAAACAGTGTATCTTTAATACAGTTTGAAGGGAGAATTCACTTTTTCAAGAAATTATACAACATTTCTTGTTACTAATCCTTTAGAAAGCAAGATTTTTTTTTTTTTTTAACGTGAAGTCAAGTCAGTTAAGTCTGTACCCATCCCCTCTCTTCCTCTTCCTCTCCTCTGTCCCTTTCTCTCTCCCTGTCTTCCTCCTTACCTGAGGTTTGTGTGCCGGACCTCGTCCTATGTGCTGGGGATATAGTGTGAGCCAAACAGATTCTGGTTCCCCCCGTGTGCGTGGAGGAGGGCACACTGTGGAGGAGGGCGTGGTGGAGACCGTTGAAAAAAATGTTTGATTTATGCATATCAGGTAATGCTAAGTTCTGATAAATACATAGAAAAATCAAGCTGGGTAAGCTAGAGAGTGGTGGGGGGTCTGGAGTGCACTTACTGGCTTCTTGTACACTAGGGCGGTCGGAGGGGTTTATGTGATACGCGGTCATTTGAGCAGTGACCTAAGGGAATTAAAAAACCATCCAGAAGGAGGAGATGGCTGCTACAAAGTCCGTGAGGTAGACCAGTGTGTCTACAGCAGACTGAGTAATGGTGGGCGGTGAGCGATGGGGTTGGAGTGGAAGAGGGGGGTCAGCACGGACGCAGACGCCCTGTGCTAGTCCAGAGTGTGCAGGCCGGGAGGGGAGGACACCCAAGTGAGGACTGTGATGGCGAACTGTGATCAGAGTCAGGTGTACTGAGAAGGAAGGGCTCACGTTGTCTGTGGCGGTGAGGGGCAGGGATTAGTAATGACTCAGAGCTTGTTTGGTCTGAGCACCTGGCCCAAGGAAGTTTCTCTTTACGACTGTGGGGCGACAGCAGGGTGCATGTGGGGGGCAAGGCTGGGAGCTCCGTCAGTTGGTCTTGGACAAGCGAGATTGGAGTCGTCAGACATCAGACTGGAGATGTTTGGAAAGCAGGCGCATACGCTGTTGAGCCAAGAGGAAAGGCCACAGTGAGGGATGTGGGTGTGTTTGGGTCTGTACGTGCAGTCGATGCCGTGGGATGGGACAGCATCCCTTCGGGAGTTTGTGGAGAGGAACAGTCTAAGCACTGAACTTTGGACGCGCCAGTTGTCCCGTGGAGAAGACACGGAAAGTTATCAAAGGAGATTCAGAAGGAAAAAAGTAACTCAGTAACATGAGGAAAACCAAGAAAACTCCTTTGTCAACAGATTTTTAAGTACACATTTAACCACAGGACTGTGTGTTTAAGCTTTGTTTGACCTTGTTTCGGACCATCCTAACACTCCGAGGAAAGCCTCCATCTTACCCTCCTTTACCTAACATTCTGTTTCATTTTTGAAGCTGCATATTCGAGTAATTTTTCCAGTTCTTTTCCTATGTCCCTTTTCAGTTTATTAAATAAATAAGGCAGTGCTACCCATGAGAATTTCACCGATAATAATGATGTGAAGTACTGTGTCAAATGCCTTGTTAAAAGCCGCATCTCCGGGGACGCCTGGGGGCTCAGAGGGCCCAGCGTCCGGCTCTTGGTCTCAGCTCGGATCTTGATCTCAGCGTTGGGAGGTTAAGCCCCACGGTGAGCTCCACACGGGGCTTGGAATCTACTCTGAGCGAAACCGACGAAACAAAGCAGCGTATCTGGGCAGTCTGCTACAGTTTTCTGATCACACATCGACCGTCTGTCACCATAGTGGTTGGCCCTCATCTGGGCTCATCAGGGAAGAAACTAGCCAGAACGTCTCCCATCGCAGTGTGTCCGTCCGTGTGGCGCGGTGGAGGCAGTAAACACGGGAAGGAAGTAGCATCCACCAGGGTCGGCGGTGATGGACACCGGAGAGACGGAGCCGGGCTGCGGGGTGTCGGGCTGGGCGCCTGTGCCGGCCGGCGTGGCTCACCAGGAAAGTGACTGAGGGGAGGCCCAGGGGACTTGAAACCGTGAACCTTGCTGAGACCTGGGGGGCGAGTGTTGCAGGCCGACGGCACAATAAGGGCAGAGGCCTGAGACGGGAGGCTGCCCACAGTGTGCGGGGCAGGGAGGCCGTGAGCCGGAGCTGGGTGAGCGCAGGAAAGCCCTGGTCACAGAGGTTAAGCCGGGGGACATCTCTGCTCAAGGGAGAGGGCGGCTGTCAGCCATATCTGTCCCTTGTTTTCATCTCATTGGCACAATTAACCGTTTCTTCTGTTATTACTATTACTATTGTCGCTATTGTTGGGGTGGTTCCAGCTTGTAAGTCAAAGATTTCTGACGAGAAGAGATAAAGAAAATACTAAGGTCAGAAGTGTGGATGCCGAGTTGCTGGGATCCACCAGATTCTAGCTTGGTCTGGAATTCTTGGATACTGCCTGTGTCCCTCAAAATGCTGTAGATACACTCCATTATATCCTGGTTTGTCTGTGTGTGTGTGTGCTGTGTGTGTGTGTGTGTAAATGTTGCTTTTTTCTTTTCTGAATATTTAGCAGACTGTCATTTGCTATTGGAATTCATTACTTTTCCTGGGTTACATGTAAATGCTTCAGCTTTTGTTACTTTAGCCTGGCATGTGACGAGCTTTCTCAGTCACTTTACAAGTCCTTCTTTAGCCCG